TATGCATCATCAGAGGCAGAAGAGGAGCTGACTGCTAAAGAATTAGACATATGAAACAGCATGAGACCAGCTGCATTCTGACATTCTGGATTGAATAGTTATTAAGCAGCACTGGCCTATCACCAGAGAAGGTATCCTGCCCAAAATTCCATAAGCTACTTAATGTCCTCAGGTACAGTGGAAGATCCTACTGCATTAGCATTCTTGGAGTAACATTCAAGTATTCCATACAGCTTCTCTGTGTAGAAAGGGAATGGTGCCATTTTGTCCTTCACCCTCAGCCAAGAAAATATCCTGCTTGACCTAGTTATAACCATATCTTATGCTCATTCCCAAGTTATCTAACCATCCATAGTACCAGCTATCACAGATTCTTTTTAGAGGTACTAAATGTAAATGCCATGATAAAAATTGGCAATGAGGCTCTCAGCAAAACCTCTATTTTGGGTGCAAACTGGTCACTGATCAGTCATCTTGGAAAAAAAGAATGAACAGAGTATCTGGGGCCAGGGCTCACATCCTAAACAGCAAACTGAGAATTTCCACATAAGCGGAATGAGTCTTGCTTTGATTTTAGAAACCAACTTGATATTTAAGCTTTTTGTAAAGTACCCTAAGAAGGATTGATTGTGGGGCTAGAAGCAGCTTACAATTTCTGCAACTGTATTCTTTTGTCTTCATAAAGCAGGTAACAGCACTGTTTTGCTTATGTAGAAATGTAAATATTGGCAAACCTATCAAGTATGAAAAGTGGCATTTTAACTTTAATTGCACACTTCCATGTGGTCCAATTGATTTTAGCTAGCTTGTACAGATATGACTGAAGGCATAGTTTGTTTTGCAGTCTTTAAGTTGTCAGAACCTTCAGGAACAGAGAATAGTAATTCTAGGATCAATAATAAGAGACAGATATTGTTCACCTGCTGTGTATGTGTGTTTTTAAGGAAACCATGAGACACTAAACAGATGGGGATGAGGGGGAAAATATTACAACTGTTTGCAATCATACTTACTAAATTTTCTTTTCTAGATATATTGACAAATGGCAGAGAAAAGCAGCTCCAAGACCCAGCCTAACCAAGGAAGGTGTTAGAAACTCTGAAAAAATGCTGGCTACAAGTCCTGTGACAGATGATGTTGAGACTGAAGCATCCATAGAGTTATATGATGGTAACAGGCAATGCTATAAATCTCAAGCCAATTAATCAGGGTGAAAGATAAAGGTATTTTACAGAAAGTGAGCATCAGGCATATAATAGCCAAAAGACCTCAGGTGTGGTACCACAAAAATGATTTAAGACTGGGTTTTTGATAAACCGGTGACACTGAATTACTGTCTTATAGCAGCTCAGGACTCAGACTGTGAAACTCCAGGGGGTAGTCACTCATGATTCTTACAGCTATGATGCAAGATACATGACAGTGTAGTGTGATTTTTACTGCAATATGCACATCAAGTAAAATACTTCCAGTGATAGTCTCTGTCATCTAGAGATTTACCTTACAACGCTTTATAAACTGGAAGTTTGTCCAGGCCTGCATTTCAATTGTATCCCATGTCTTGGGCTCTCACATTAATGTTTTAGGGTTTAATAGAACCATATATAAAATTCCAAGTATGACCCCATAGAGAAGTAGTAAGAGCTTAATAGCTTTATTTATATTATCTCCCCTACAAATCACTAACAAGAAATTCACCTCCTTTCTAGCAATTGCGTATTTGTTTTTCATTGTACAGTACTACCAGTCCCAAGATGTCTATTTTGTTTGATCACATTTACTCCAGACCTCATCAATGTAAAGGTGATCCCCCCCCCCAATATGTATGCTGATTAAACTATATTTGCAGTTTGGAGAGATCTATTTATTTACTGATTT